TCTCTCTCTCTCTCTCTCTCTCTCTCTCTCTCTCTCTCTCTCTCTCTCTCTCTCTCTCTCTCTCTCTCTCTCTCTCTCTCTCTCTCTCCATGGAAAAATTGAAGCTCATCGTTCACTTGCTCCTTCGTATTTCCTCCATCCTCCCGTCCTTCCTCCTCTCTCGTCAATTCCCCATCGATCTTTTCTCCATCACTATTCATCCTTCATCATCGCTCTTCCTCCCTCCTTCCTCCATCGCTCCTTTCCCTCCTTCGGCATCCCTCTTCCTCCCTCCTTCCTCCCTCCTCCTTCCATCGCTCCTTCCTCACTCCTTCGACATCCCGCTTCCTCCCTCCTTCCATTGCTCCTTCCTCCCTCCATCATCGCTCTTCCTCCCTCCTCTTTCCATCGCTCCTTCCTCCCTCCTTCGACATCCCGCTTCCTCCCCCCTCCTGTCATCCGATCCTCCCTCCTCCGCTCCTCCCTCATCCGCTCCTCCGCCATCCGCTCTTCCGTCCATTGACCGCTGTTGCTCTTCCTCCTTTGTTCCTCCCTCCATCGCTCTTCCTCCATCATGGCAACGTTAACTTGCATGAGTTTGACGATTGACAAATATGGCAGGGAGAAAGGGGCAAAAAAGCAAATTTCAAAAGAACTGCAAAACCTCCCTTCCTTGGCCGTTCATTTTGCTCTTTTTTCCCCCAGTTGCTGCTTGAAGAGCGCGGGTTCGTTTTTCGTTTCGGTTTTCGTTTGTCATTTTTTGCATCCGTTAAGAGGAGGAATAGGTTGGAGCCTGTAGGGGCTAAGGATGGCAGGGGAATGTGTATGTTGTGGTGGTTGGCAGGGGGGGGTCGGGGCAGGGGGTGCGGGGTGGGGGGTGGGGGGTCGGACTGCGGGGTGGTTGAAGAGGGAGTGCCGACACAAGGGGCTCACTCCTGGGCTGTTGGCAGACTGTGCGCAGGTCAGGATGTCACTGGCAAAGGAGATTCTGCAGCACCTTAGGGCAGGGGAATCACCTGCAAATTGAACATCTGATTACCCGGAGAAAAAAAAAAAAAGGCTGTGTGCAACGGCCGCACATGCAGCTGCCCTGCACGCACACCCCCAGCGCACCAATGCACACGCCTCGCCAATGGGCGCAACCACCGCGATGCGCACGGTGCACTGGTGAGCCATAAGTATGCTATCGCATTCCAATCTCATAATAATACCTTTCCCATCCTTTTGGCTAAGTAAGATCAAGTGTAGTATCTGTTCTAAACTTCTGCTCAGTTTAATATCTAATTCGTGGTCCATTGGACCTACAGACCTGAGTTCGAACCCTAGTTGACGCAGACGGGCACGATACTCCAAAAAAAAAAGAGTCAGTTTCAATATCATCATCTGCCTACATCTGACTAGTGCCGTACCACTTTTTTTTTTTTTTTTTTTTTCAGAGCTGTACCACTTTACCGTATTCATCCCTTTTTTTCTCCCTTTGATTTGCGGTCCATCTAACCGCGCTATATTAAAAAACCAAAAAGTTTAAACTTCATAGACTTTGTAACTTAATGAAACTGTTTGGCGGCAATCCTATCCACAACTTCGTTAGGCTGTGTACTAAAGTGTACCGATGGCGTTGGGCATACTTCTTCGGAATTTTTTGCCGATTCAACATGCATCGTGTAGAGTTCCTTTATCTCAGCCTCTTTAAAAAAAAAAAAAAAACTCACCGGAGTCGTCTGCTGATGGAATGCTTGCAGTCGACTCTTTAGCGTCTCGGGATTGTCGTCCTTTCTTTGGATCAACGGTTCGCTGGTAATCTGCACAAGGCACGGCAAGAAAATTACAGGAATTGCAACACAGATGATACTCAGTTCAAAAACATAAACTTTGTTCCGCGCTGATCGTCCGCACGGATACGTGTGTCGTTTGATCAGATGCTCGGAGAAGTCATATCATCGAGCATATACCCAGCTTCGCACCTCGTCAACAGACGCCGGCAACCACAATTCCATCGGCTGATTCGGCTACACAAGGACCGCATAATAATGGCGTAGCATTAGCACAACTGCAAGAGAAGGAGAATAGAGAAGGGTAGAGTGAGGGCGAAGAGAGGGAGCAGGGAGGAGAGCATGCAGGGACAAAGAACGAGTGGGAGAGCATAGAGAGGAAAAGGGAGAGAAACGGAAACGGAGCAGACAGAGGAGAGAAGAAGGAATGCGAGAAACGACAGGGAGGCAAAGAAACAAGAGAGCAACGAATTGAACCACCCGTCCATCCCGAGTCTGATTCCGGACCTATTTGAACACACCGAAAGTCGAATTCCCCCAAGCCTAAAAACTACATTGCCGCCGTGAGTTTAAAAAAAAAAAAAAAAAAAAAAGTTGTGTTACCTCTCCCCACCGAACGTCTACCGGGCTCGGGGAGTGTGAGATTTTGGTCCAGTACTTGTAGACAAGAAAAATGCACAGTGCAGATGCCGCTGGCGCGGTGGCTTGAAGGAGGTGAGTGGACAGAGGGGGGGGCAGGGAGGGAGTTGGGGTGGCGGGGGGGGGAGAAGGAATCAAGAAGCAAGAAAGAGATGGTCACACAAGGAGGTGAAGGAGGAGGAGGAGGAAAGAATTTTACACAAGAGTCAAAGCCACAATAATGCCAGCATGTGTTGCTCCCCACGAATAGATTGAAGCATGTTTCCAGAAAAAGAAAAGAAAAAAAAAAAAAAAAAAAAAAAAAAAAAAAAAAAAAAAAAAAAAAAAAAAAAAAAAAAAAANAAAAAAAAAAAGACAAAAGAAAAAAGACAGAAAAAAGAAAAAGAAAAATGCCGCTTCGGATAACGCCTTACGCCTTTTTTTTAACAAAACAATGGGAAAAAAAAAAACAAAAATGTCAGCACACACTCACATCGTCCTTCCCCGGGACCTTTGGAGGTGCAAATTTTGTATGGTAGGATCGCCCTGATGCCGGATGAATCCATCGGCCCGTTACTCTTTCCACGAGGAGCTCGTCGGGAACCTCGAAGTTGAGGACCTTGTCCACTTTCACTCCTTGCTTGTCGAGCATGGCATCGAGCTACAAGCAAAGAAGCAAGCAAAAAAACAGTAAGCAGAAAAAAATTAATTTGAAACAGAAAAGATGAAAAGCACATGTGTCAAGAAAAAGCAACCCAAGACAAAATGCATGATCTCAAACAGACACAGAAAAGAAACGAAAGAAAGAAAGAAAGACAAAAAGAATGAAAGAGACAAAAATGAAAAGCTGAAGGCGGCCACAAAAGAGAAAAGTGTTGTTTAGATGACGGCCACAAAAAAAAAAACCATGGTTACGATCCGGACGTCTGGACCGCTGTGCAGTCAGTCTGGGTCTGGTGTCCGGACCAGCGTGTCCGGATCTCAAAATCCGTAGCCAAATTCCAAGGAAAAAACATAAAAAAGTGTTAAAAGCATACTTGCAAGCAGACGGACCGAAAGAGCGTCCGGTCCGGTCCGCTTTGCCGCGTGCGGCACCCTCCCCCCGGACCGGACGGACCCGGACTGGACCGGACCGGACGGGGCCGTTTTGTTTTTTTTTTTGGGCGGGGGAGGTGTAACTGGTCGTCGGGCGCACATCCGTGCGCCGCGTGGGTCCGGTCCGGCGGTCTGCCGCACGTGCGAAACCGCCCGGACGGCGTCCGCTTGCAAGTATGACAAAGTAAAAAAACGTTCCCCCCCCCGCCCCCCAAAGGGGGCTTTTTCAATCCGGATTCTCCAGAGCAGTCCCGACACAGGTCCGTCCGGACTTTCTGGACTGAAGTCGACTGAACCAGTGTCTGGGTCCAGCGTAAGCATGAAAATAGCCATGCGTGGTCCGCATTTGCACCGCAGAAAATAAGCGGCATTTTCTTTCAGCTCAAACTTTTTTTTTTCCTGTCTTTTGCATTCTAAAAAGAAGTCGAAATTTCAAATCCGGATTTGCACTACAGAAAATAAGCGCCATTTTCTGTGGGTTCCCCCCCCCCCCCCCCCCTGTCCGGATCAAGTTAGGGGATGTCCCCCTTCTTCCAAAGCAAAACAAGAAAAAAGGCATCAGCGCCGGTCCCGCGGTCTAGGTCCCATTTACGAAATTGGGCTCGCTAGCTCAGCTCAGAATTGAGAATTCTAAAACCACGGGTGGCATGGGGGCGAAGATGCGACAAGAGCCCTGCCTGCGATCTTCTGGGACAAGGTCCCACTAGCAAAGAGGATTGGACCGAATGCCTGAATGTGGACGAGTTTGTGGAACGGTGCAGAAAATGATGATTGAACTGTGCTGCTTTTCCGCATCTCGCCTTGAAAGTTAAAACCCATCCAGATTCGACCGCTTATTAATTAATCCAACCCTGTTCGCTGGTGGGACCTTACCAATGGAAACCAATAGGTAGGGCGATATTCTTTTTTTTTCTTTTTTTCTTTTTTTTTCTCCCTTGCAATCCATTTTTTTCTTCTCCCTTGCGATATTCAGCACAAATGCCACAAATATATTACAGATTGATGTATTTACTATTTATTATTTAAAATATTTTCTAGTTTTTTTTCTTCTCCCTTGCAATCCATTTTCTTGCATTCTCTGGCCCTTTCAGTTTGCGCAGGAAAAGCGATTTCAGTTGCACAAGCTGCTCTACTTGAGATAGGTCAGCTAGCTCAACCGCTTTGCCTTTTTTATTTTTTTGTTGTTGAGCCAGCATTACCTCCTCATGGGAGGACACTCTGGCAGAGAGTGTTAATGGCGTGTTTGGCCCAGCAGCCTCAGACTCGTTTCCGTTATTTGGGCGGTGAGGGCAGAGGGCCATGCACTCTGTGTTCACATTCGTTTCACAACGAAGTGCGCTCCCGATCTTGAACTTCCCGTAACATGCAGAGAGTTTCAGTCGGGCATATTGTGATTCCACCACATTTCACGTTTTGGGCATATTGTGATTCCACATTTCACGTTTTGGAAAATGTGGACAAATTACCGACAAACGTATTCGACCGCATTTGTTTTGCCTTTTTTAGCACTTTAGCACCTTTTTTATTTTAATATATATTTAGTCGGTGAAACTCGGACAAAACAGTTTGTCACGGCCCCTCGTTTGTTGTCCTCTTCGCACTCTCTGCCTACGGTTTACCGGGCAGCTCTGTTTGACGTATATATCTATATATATAGAGAGAGAGAGAGCTCCCCCGTAAATATATCGTCAAACAGAGCTGCCCGGTAAAGCGTATGCAGCAGACTGTATGGAGAAGAGGACAACAAACGAGGGGCTGTGACAAACTGTTTCGTCCGAGTTTCACCGACTCATCAATCAGTAGAGGCTGAACCCTCGACAGTCTGCAGAATCCCCTAACTGATTACACTGTAAGTGATAATGCACCTTAACCCCAGTTGTGGTTTAAGCATCACCGACTATATATATATATCGTCAAATATATATCGTCAAATATCGTCAAATATATATATATATATATATTGTCACATAACTATGAACTAAAAGAGCACAATTTGCGAAACAAACGGCAAAAAAAAAAAAAAAAAAAAAAAA